ATGGGATGAAATCACTGTTTTTTATATTTTCCATTTCTATTATTTTATCCTCCCCCTTTATGGTCCATCCTATGAAATTAAAATTTGTTTTCCTGTCCCCAACTCTACCCCTCCAATTAATTCTCTTCACCTTTCATTTTCTCTACCTATTTCCCCCTGTTAACTTTAATATATTTTTGCACTAAATTCTTTGCATATATGTATATGGGCATGAAAATTCCCTTTGTCCTGTTCAAATAAGAGTGAGGTTCATGAGATGTCTATTCCCCTCACTTCTTACTGCATGTTTATAAACTCTAATTCTTCCTTTCTTTTCTAGTATGTTCTTTCCCCCTCTCTTTTCTTTCTTCTTTTAAAGCCAACTAAACAGAACAAAACCAAACCCGGGTCCTATGTTTGATTTTCTTAACTCCCTCTGTGGCCCTTGAAAACAACAGAATTCTGAAGGGATATTTATCTCTTCTTATCTTATTAGAGTATAAGTACTTTATAATCATTTAGCCTTTTTTAATCATTCAAACATATATGCCTTCTTAAATTTCTCTTGCCTCCTTTATTTGTTTCAATGATTCTGCCCAGCTCTGGTCCTTTCATTAGGAGTATATGAAAGTTTTCTATTCTATTAGAGGCACAATATTTTTTCCCTTTAGGATTATATTCAGTTTTGTGGGGTAGCTTATTTTTCAGTTGTAAGTCTTCTATCTTTTGCCCTTTGGAATATTGTATTCCAATATTTTCTCTTCTTCTGCTAAATCTTATGTGATCTTGACTGTGGTTCCTAGATGCTTAAATTCTTTTTATATTGCTGTTTGCAATATTTTTCCTCTAGCTTGGAAGCTGTGGATATCAGCCATAATATTTGTGTGTTTTCAGTTGTTTTCCCCAAGAAGTAATGTGTACTTTTCTATTTTCATTTTGCTTTCTGGTTTCATTTTTGTACCTTATTTTATTTCTTTCTTTGACCTACTCTGTCTCCAACCTGAGCTACTTAAACCCTCTTTAGGTACCTTGGTAGCCTTTCTTTCCCAGGAGTTCATCATATTGATGCCACACTTCGTGCAGATTCCTGATTAGCTTTACCCTAGTACTGAAACTCGGAACTCCCAGACTTAAGCAGTCCACTAGCTTCAGCCTCCCCAGCAGCAGTTACTATAAGTGTGTGTTACCACACCTGGTTCTTGCTTCATTTCTTCCAGCCACTCCTGCAGTTTTTATGGCAAGGCACTTCTCTCTGAGGTACTACTTCCACTCATTGTATAGTTATTCTCTTTATCTGGACTTATCTCTTGCGCTTCACTTAACCATTTCTTTTTGGATTGCAACTTAAGTCAATTAAGAGGCATATATTAAGCTCCTACTATGTGTGAGATTAAGAAGCCTTTTGATGAGAGTGGAGAGGAGAATGTAAAAGCTGACTTGAAGCTTAACATAAAAAAGAAAAAGCAAAGATCTTGGCAACCGGTCCCATCACTTGCTGGCAAATAGAAGGAGAAGAAATGGAAGCAGTGTCAGGTTTTATATTCTTCGGCTCAAAGATCACTGCAGATGGTGATTGCATCCATGAAATGAAAAGATGCTTGCTCCTTAAAAGGAAAGCTATGGCAAATCTGGACAGCATACTAAAAAGCAGAGACAGCACCTTGCTGACAAAGGTCCATATGGTCAAAGCTATGGTTTTTTCCAGTAGCAATGTATGGCTAGAAAAGCTGGGTTATAAAGAAAGCTGAGCACTGCAGAATTGACAATTTCAAATTGTGGTGCTGGAGAAGACTTTTGAGAGTCCCTTAGACAACAAGTAATTCAAATCAGTCAATATTTAAAGAAATTAATTCAGGATATTCATTGGAAGGACAAATACTAAAGCTGAAGCTTAAATACTTGGGCCACATAATGAGAAGATGGGACTCATTGAAAAAGACCCTAATGCTGGGAAAGATTAAAGGCAAAAGGATGGCAGAGGATGAGATGGATAGATATAATGGAAACAATGAACATGAACCTGGAAAGACTTCAAGAGACAGTGGAGGACAGAAGGGCCTGGCATGCTATGGTCCATGGGGTAATGAAAAGTTGGACACAACTAAACAACTGAACAACAAACACATAAGATATTGTGCTATGCTCTTACAAAGAAAGGCAAAAACAACTTGCTCTGAAGTTTATAATTTGAGTTAAAGAAAAAAATGAAAATGAAAGTATGCTTCTAAAACAATCTGTGTTATTTCTGTCAATTGATATTAACAAATTGTTTTAAAAATTGTTATTTTAATATTACAAAAATTTTAATATTACAAAAATGTCTAAAGCCACTTAGCTCCAAATCCCTGTTTCTGTTAATAGTACCGTTTTATTCATTAAACACATTTGGACTTTCAAAAAATATTTATTAAAAAATTTAAAAATTTAAAAAAATTAAAAAATTATTAAAAACAATAGAGACAACATGAAAACAACTATGTACAAACAAAATTATATACAAGATAAATGAGAGATCATTTTGAAGGGAAGTCACTAGCATTAAAAGGGACCAAGAAAGATTTCTTGTAAAAGGCAGAATTTTAGTTGAAACTTGAAGGAAAAGGGAAGTCAGGCAGCAGAAATGATAAAGGAAAGAATTCCAGGCATTAGGGAGGGGGAACAGCCAGTGAAAATGCATAGAATCCAAAGATGGAGTGTGATATCCAAGGAGCAAAAAGAAGGCCAGTGTCACCGAATTTCAGAATACATGGTGGAAGGTTAGAAATATAGATTATGAAGAATACAGGCTTCAAAAATAAAACGGAGGATTTTATGTTTAATCCTGGAGGTTACAGGTAGCCACTGGAGTTTATTGACTAAGGGGGTGGCATGGTCAGACTGTGCTTTAGAAAGATTATTTTGATAGCTTAGGGAAGGATGGACTGGAGTGGGGAGAGAGTTGAGGCAGGGAAACCAACTAGCAGACTATTGAAAAAATCCAGGCATAAGGTAATGGGAGCGTGTATCAGAGTGGTGACAGTATCAGGGGAGAGAAAGAAGCTATAGGAGAATCTATAAGATTTGGCAACTGTTTGGATATGATTGCTGACAGTGAGGAGTTGAAGATGACATTTAAGTTTCAAGCCAGAGTAACTAGGGTAATGGTGGTGCCCTTGATAACAACAGGAAAGTTAGGAAGAGAAGAGGGCTTGGGGGAAAAATAATGTGTTCAGTTCTGGACATGTTGAATTTAAGATGTCTATGGAGTATCCAATTTGAGATATCTGATAGGCAATTGGTGATGTGAGACTAGATGCCTGAAGAGAGGTCAAGGCTGTTCAAGCAGATCTGAGAGTTATCTGCATAGAGATGATAATTAAAACCATGGGAGCTGATGAGCTCACCAAGTGAAACTGTGTGGATGGAGAAGAGATAAGGGTCAAGGACAAAACCTTGGAGAATTCCCACAGTTAGTGGGTATGACACGGATGAAGATCCAGCAAAGGAAATTAAGAAGGATCAGTTAGGTAGGAGGAGAACCAGGAGAGAACAGTATTTCAAAAATCAAGAGAGAATACAGTATCAAGGAGAAGAGGATGATTAACAATGTCAAAGGCTGCAGAGAGTTCAAGCAGAATGAGGATTCAGAAAAAGTCATTAGATTTGGCAATTAAAATATCATTGTTAACTTTCTTGATTGAGACTTTTTTTCTAGGGCCAGGCTCTACTCCCTCTCATGCTCTTGAATTGGGTAGGCAGGTTACGTTTGGTCCTGTCCCTCTAACATCTTTATGATACTATTGTTCTGGATGGGGTGGCTGATACTAGGATCATAATCCCTGACATCTGGATCTATTTCCTGATGCTCAATATGGATCTTGACCTTACCCTATAGAACTGGCTTTTTTCCCCACTGCCACTTTACCAGGCCAAACCTGAGATCTCAATGACTTCATACCCTACATATAGGCGATCATGCTGGCTTTTTCCTCACCTAGCCTAACTCCTTGTCCCAGTAACCACAGGCTTTTTCATCTATTTTCTTGAGTAGACATGGGTTGGGTAGAAGAGCCTACTGCTGTTTTTCTTTGGTTTTATTGATCTTTGCTCTGTCTGGTGCCCTTTTAGATCTTTGTTGGAGTGTAGACTGAAGAACTGGGCTTCTCTACAACCTTTTATGTCACCATTTTAACCGAAAGTCCTCTCTTTACATATTTGCTATTGTTGTTCAGTCATTTAAGTCATGTCCAACTCTTCATGACCCTAGTTGGGATTGTCCTTGGCAAAGATGCTAGAATAGTTTGCCATTTCCTTCTCCAGCTCATTTTATAGATGAGGAAACTAAGGCAAATAGAGTTAAGTAACGTGTCCAGGGTCACACAACTAGTAAGATCTGAGGCCAGATTTGAACTCAGGAAGATGTCTTCCTGACTTCAGGTCCAGCATTCTATTCACTGAGGCACCCAGCTGCCCCTTACATCTTTATTAGAGTATAATAACCTTTTAAACCATTTCACTGCCTCTAGTCTCTCCTTTTTCCAATACATCCTTCACATGTCTCTCAAATAGTACTTCTAAGATGTCACATTGGTCATATCAGTACCCTTCCCAAAAAAAACTTCATTGTTTTCCTATTGCATATAGGATAAAACCAATTCTGTAGCCTGGCATTTGAGGTCTTTCACAATGTGGGACCTACTGACATTTAAAGACTTGTTTGCTCTATTTTCTCTGATTGGACGGTGAAGAGTTCCTCCTAAAACCTCTATTTGAGGAGGACTCTCAGGCCAGCCATCTCTTCATTTTCCACCCAGTTGCACTCCTTTGATCTTTTCAATCAATAAATCTCCATTAGTAAATGTTTATTGACTGGTTGGTTGACTGATTATGTACCCAATGGTCCAGTCGTACTGGTCTTCCTATCCCTTGATCTCATTTAGGCCTTTTTAGTCCACAGTAAATGAATAAATGCAGTTCATCCCCCATATCAAGAATGGACACCACCCATCTCTGCCAGTCTAATTTTTTTCTCTTCCTTCAAGGCCAGCTCCAGCACCACCTCCTTCATGAAGACTTCACTGATCTCCTCAATTGAAAGTGATCTCTTCCTGTTCTCCCTGGACCTCAATTTCCTCATCTACAAATTAAGGATTTTATATTTATTATTTCCACTTTATATCACACTTATTTATGCAGATAATTCATCTTTCCTACTTGATCATAAGTTCCCTGAGTACATAGTTGGTGTTCAGTTTCATCTTTGCGGCCCTAGCACGCTGTTTTATGTGAATCAAATTAAATTAAGACATCACAGTACTGTGGAAAACGCAATGGACCTCTATTCAAATCTCACTTCTGATACTTACGATCTATGTGACCTTTGGCAAGTCACTTGTTTTCCCTGGACCTCCTCAGTCTCCTCCTTTGTAAGATGAAGAAGTTGGACTAAATCATCTCTGGGGTCCTTTCAGAGGCATGCTGATACATGTTTGGCAGCCAACTCTAAGAATATACACACACACACACATGCATGTGTATATATACATATGTATATATACATTCTCAAAGAGGACCAATGACATCAGGAGGGTGATGTTTTGACTAGCAAGTGAATTGGATTCAAGTGAGGTAGGGCTGTGCAAAGTCATCAGTCTCACTCTCTCCTCTAGAGAGTTCAGTGTCAAAACATAAGTCAAGAGAACTGGCGATGGTCCACATGCAGAGGGAGACCTCAGCCTTCTTAAGCTAGTGCTTTTCCAGGTCTCAGTTTGTCTGAAGCAACACCCATTCAATGATTAAGGTCTAGGAGACAACTGAGGCCTACTTGGATGGCCTAGTTTGGGAGGAGAAGTCCCTCAGGGTTTCTGGCTAGAACACAAATAATTGTTATTTACACTCCCTCTGAATTGAATTGAACTGAACTGTCCAAATTGCCTACATAGTGCCCAGTGGCATGAGGAGACAGTGGTTACCCTCTTCTAGGTTAACGGGGTGGCCATACATGACAGCAGGCCCAGGCGAGAGATTCAGACTTCAGAGGGCTTTCGAGGCCTGCAATGTGTTTGCCTGGAGAGGGTTAAAGTAGCTGGAGCCAGTTCTTAATCATAGGCCCTTGTAAAATGGCTACGGCAGGAGCTGGCCTGGGGGGTGGGAGCCCCTGGGCTGGAGTGGTGGAGAAGGTGTTTGCCTTCAGCGCAGACATTGTTAAACCTGAGCGGGCAGCTCTGTTTCATTTTGAACTTGACAGATAAAAGGCCAACTTTGACTGAGGCTATTAAGCTTTTGGCACCCGCCCAAGAACGCTGAACAGATGAGGAAATAATATAAAATAAAAGGCGTCTGCAAACATTGATTGTCGGCTGCTTTCCATAAAATACGCCCACTGTCGTGTGTGCAGAGCTCCCCCATCTTTTATTTCCCTGGCCCCGCCCCCGCTTCCACCCTCCCCTTTCTCTGGCTTACAGTGATTATAAAAATGGGCTTCTTAAAAAAAATTTTATGCAGAAAAAACCACACTGAGAACATTTCCTTCTTCACAAGGAGCTTCTGAACCCTAAAGCAGTGTACCCGAAGAGATAATGTATATTTTCCTGCCCCCACAACTAACACACACACACACACACACACACACTCTCTCTCCTTGTTGCTTCCCTTTCAATCCCCCATCCTGAGCCCATTAGAAAATACAGACAGAGTAGCAACCAGATGTGAACACAGCAGCTGAGTGAATAAGGTTGCTGAGCCAAGCATGATTTAGAAGCTACTGTGGAACCAGATTCTACACCCTCACCTCCATGAGTCATGGGGTTTCAAGTGAAGATGTGGTTCACAGTGTCAAAGTCATCATTGCCAAAGAGAACAAAATCTCGGGATGTTTAAGGTGGAAGGGGCTTTAAAAACCATCATTTCTTATTGGAAAGATTGCTGGATTAGAAGTCAGAAACCTGGGTTTTAAAATCTGTTTCTGCTTCTTAGGAACTGAGTGACATCGGACAAGTCATTTAACCTTTTGGTCTATTTCCTCATTTGTCAAGTAAAGGGAGAATTGGACCAGATAATCGTTAACACCCTATCCAGTTCTATGAACCTATATTCCTCTAGTCCAGTGCTCCTTTTCCAGACAACATGAAGTTCAGCATCACTAAGAGCTGTAGCTTCTCAAAGAACAAATACCAGGGATAAGGACACTAAGGGAAGTCTCTTGCAGAATGAAGGAAGAGGATCTTCTTTCCAGTAAATGAGAAAGAAAAAGATGACAGTGACGTAGGCTGTATGAACAGTTGGTAGTTATCCCAAAGAGCAGTAACAGCTCACACTGGTTTGGTCCTGCCTTCCCTTCAACCCACAAGAAGACAAGGTGTCACTTTGCAATTAGCCTAGCAAGGGAATGTGGTTTATTATTTGCCTACCAGAAGAAGCTGCACTCCAGCTACCAACCCTGTGGACTTGGCAAGGTTTCTCTCACTCAAGAGACAAGAGATACTCTTGAATGAACTTTCTACCTTTACCAAGCTGTATGGCTTTAATTGACGAGTCAAGGATGGAACATTCACTGATTAGATTCTACATTTGAACCCAGGGATTATTAGATATTGCACCAAAATATAAACATTAGAGAAATATCTATGATTCTCCTGCACCCCACATGTAGAAAATTTCCTCTTTTAATCTCAGCCATACTTATATGTTTCAAACAAATAATTTTTTGTGGCCCATAATTTGTAATGTATGTAAGAAAAGATGGACATAAATCTGGCTCTTATTTCCCCCTATTCACCTCTGACAAATGCCCCCAATTCCTTTAAGTCATGAAAAAAGGGATGATGATAGAGGTGTGTGTGTGTGTGTGTGTGTGTGTGTTTCCTAGATTACACCCCCAGATGAGTCTCATACTGGCTCAAAGACAAAGGTCCATCAAAAAACAAAAACAAAAACAAAAAAAAACAAAAAAAAAACAAAAAAGGGGCAACTAGGTGACACAGAGGATATAGCACTGGCCCTGAAGTCAGGAGGACCTGAGTTCAAACACTTGACACTTACTAGTTGTGTGACCCTGGGCAAGTCACTTAACCCCAATTGCCAAAAAAAAAAACCAAAAAAAAAGAGAAAGGTCTATTTCCCTGCTTCAGGTTCACCACTCTACACTCTGTGTAGAGTAGTGGTGGCTAGACAGTCCCTGGCATTCTGGAATTCACCAGGAACAATGTTCCCCAACATCTTGGTCAGCAATTGCTTAAGGGCAATCTGCACGAGGGGTGGGGTTGGCATGGATGCAAATAAAAACAATGCTGAGGTTCTACCTCACATCTACCAGACTGGCAAAGATGATTTTTTCTCCAAAAAAATGGAGAATTACAGTTGTTGAAGGGACTGAGGGAGGTTAAGCACACTAATGCCCTGCTGGTGGAGCTATGAATTAGCCCAGCAGTTTTGGAAAACAATTGGGAAGTAGACCAAAAAGTCTTTATGCATATCCTTTCACCCACCAATGTCACTGCTCAACCTATACTGGAAAACGATGGAAAAAAGAGGAATAGAACTCATATGTATAAAAATATTTGGAGGGGCATTTTTTGGTTATAGTAATGAAGTTCTTAGAAACTAGATAGATGCCCACTAATTGGTGAGTGTCTGAACAAATCATGGCAGATGTATGAATGTGAGTATAAATAATAATGAAAGGGGTTGTTTCTAAGAAACATAGGAAGAGTTGTATGAACTGATGCAGAATGTAGGTAAGTAGATCCAGAAAAATAACATCCATGAATATATTGTCAATGAAAATGACTTTAAAAGTCTTAGGAACTCTGATGAATGCATTGACAACTCCAGAAGACCAATGAAAGACTCTCACCTCTTGGTGCAGAAGTAATGATAGGTACAGAATGAGATAGATGTAAACAATATAATACAAATTTGTTTTCCTTGAATGTATTTATTTGTTCTAAGGGAGAATTTTTATTTGGATGGGGGAAGGTTATTGGGAATAGTTGAAGACCACTGATTATGATACCAAAATGAAAGAAAGGAAGGAAGGAAAAAAGAAAGAAGGAAAAAAGAAAGAAGGAAGGAAAAAAGAAAGAAGGGAAGGAAGGCAATGAACCAAGTGTCTTGCACTGAGTCACACAACTAATAATAATATTGGAACTCAGATCTTCCTGACTCTAAGTATAGAGTTCTATCCACTAAACCATATATTTTTCTGATATACTCTTGTTTTCCTGATTCCATTCCACACATTTCTTTTTCTTTCCCTTTAATTCAGTGGTGTTATTAAATTTTTCTACTATTAATATAAGCTAGATACTGATGTAACCTTCCACTGTCTTTCTATAGGCAGTCAATAGTTTTCTCAAGCAGTTTATGCCATAGTGATTTTCAATGCCTATCTTCAAAAATATTCCCAGATTTTTCTACTTTTCTTCTTATCATCCTTGCCATGGCAACAGCTACAGTATATACAATTGTGTGTAAGTCCTGAAATATTTTTTTTTACACTTTGTCAATTGTTGTGAGAAAATGCATTCGTTCATGATGGTTATAGCAGAGACCTCCTTTTAAAATTATTCTGCTCTAGTATAGTTTTTCTCTAGGTTGGTTTCATACCTAAGATGAAAAGGGCATTTCAAAAAAAATTCCATTCTAAGTATGCTCATCTTCCTTTTAAAATCATTCAACCTGTTGGTATTACTTTCACCATCTATCTCATTGTTAGCTAGCATGTCTGGAGCTTAAGTGTGGATCTATAATTCCTTCAGGTTCTTTGATCATCTCTCTTCACATGTTAACTCCTCAATTTCCACTCTTATCTCATCTAATTTGGGCTTAAGGATGAACTTATTCTTTAAGAATGCCCTGTATTTATCTGGACTATCTTGTAGTGTAACTTGGGCCCAAGGAGATTATTATCTTACAGCACAATGAAGCCCTCTCCTAAAACTGCTAAGCTCTGTTTGGAATTTGATAGATTGTGTTGTTGTTCAGTCGTTTCAGTTGTGTTTGACTCTCTATGACCCCATTTGGAGTTTTTATGGGTGAAGATACTGGAGTGGTTTGCCATTTCCTTATTTTACAGATGAGGAAACTGAGATGAGGCCAACAGGGTTGAGTGACTTGCCCAG